AAAAAAAAAAAAAAAAAAGATAATTAAGGATGTCTATAATACCAGCACTTTGGGAGGCCAAGGCATGAAGATCACTTGATTCCAGGAGTTCAAGACCAGCCAGGGCAAAATGGTTAAACTCCATCTTTACAAAAAATATATTAAAATTGACCTGGCATGGTGGCACTATTACTACTCCTACTACTTAGGGAGCTGAGGTGGGAGGATCACTTGAACCCAGGAAGCAGAGGTTGCAGTGAGCCACAATCGCACCACTGCACTCCAGCCTGGGTGAAACAGCAGGACCCTGTCTCAAAAATCAAATAATAATAAGATAATTAAGGAATAATAATTAAAGAATCTTAGGAATTATTTCCTAAGTATCATTTTCTCTAAATAAATGAATATAAATACCACTACTATGGAAGGTCATAAATGCTCCATTACCATCAGAGAAAGTCCAAGTTAGAAAACCAGGCATGGCCAGGCACGGTGGCTCACGCCTATAATCCCAGCATTTTGGAAGGCCAACATGTGAACCACCTGACGTCAGGAGTTCGAGACCAGCCTGGCCAACATGGTGAAACTCTGTCTCTACTAAAAATACAAAAGTTAGCTGGGCGTCATGGCACAAGCCTGTAATCCCAGGTATTTGGGAGGCTGAGGCAAGAGAATTGCTTGAACCCAGGAGGCAGAAGTTGCAGTGAGCCGAGATCGTACCATTGCACTCCAGTCTGCGTGACAGAGTGAGACTCTGTCTCAAAAAAAAAAGCAAGGCAGGAACAGGCACATCGTAAACTATATTACAGAGAGATCCCCAATATTGATTTTGGCAATGAGAACAAAAGCTTAAGTTTCACACTCAGGGATACTATTCCTTCTATATCACACCATGGTTCGGTGAAGTTCACCTGTTGGCAGAGTCTTCACTGCCTCTTCATATACAGCACAGCACCTCTCCTCCTTCCGGCCAACCTCTACTGCTTTGGCTTGTTTCGTCGTAGGCTGCTCTTCTGTCTGTGACTCAATCTCTAATTCTCGCCTTGCCACATAATCCCAAGTGAAAGGATCATCAGTGTGTAGATCCTGAAGGCTGAAAAATATAACTTACTGGTATCTATCCCAACAAGAAACTAACTCAGAATATCAGGGAAACAATTACCTATGCTTTAAAAATCTACACAGGACATCCCTGTAACAAGTGCAGTACCATAAAAACTATTTCCCAGGCCGGGCCCACTGGCTCACACCTGTAATCCCAGCACTTTGGGAGGCCAAGGCGGGTGGATCACCTGAGGTCAGGAGTGCAAGACCAGCCTGACCAATATGGTGAAACCAGATCTCTACTAAAAATACAAAAATAAGCCTGGCATGGTGGGGTGTGACTATAGTCTGAGCTACTAGAGATGCTGAGACAGGAAAATCGCTTGAATCCAGAAGGCAGAGGCTGTAGAGAGCCAGGATTATGCCACGGCAGTCTCAACCTCACGAACTCAGGAGATGTTCCCACCTCAGCTTCCAGAGTAGCTAGGACCACAGGCATGTATCAGCACACCTAGCTTATTTTTTGTAGAGACAGGGTTTTACTATGTTGCCCAGGCTGGTCTCAAACTCCTGAGCTGAAATGATCCACCTGCCTTGGCCTCCCAAAGTGCTGGGATTACAGGTGTGAGCTACCATACCTGGCCAGAAAAAAAA